CTCCGCCTCCTCCTCCTCCCGCCCAGCCCCACCTCGCGACTAGTCTCGTCGTGACTTGTTTTTTCCGGCCTCTGTCGGCCTCCGATGGCTCCCGAGGCCGCCAAGAACATGGTTCCTGGGATGACAATCCACTCGGGGATCGTGTGCAGAGTTGATTTACCCCCACAATTCACTTGTTCGCCGAATCCATGAAAAGTGCGTAGAATGCGCGTAGATCTACAGAAAGTGATATCCGCCCGCCCGCGTGGGCGGGCAGATGTCCATATCCACCGCTCCACGAGTCTTCGGAACACGACCCAGCAGCAGCGGACATGGTCATATCCTGGCGGCGCCAAATTGGCAACGGCCCAGACATGCTCGCGCCGTGAACAGAATCCACGGCGGGTTTTTGCTGGTCGTCCTCGGCCGCCACGCGGTGAGCCTCCACCGCACGTGCCCGGACGTGCAGCCCTGCGAGCCGCGTGTCAGGCCGCCTCTCGGCAGCCCAGAAGGGGGCCAGGGGCACGCCGTCTGGCAGCGCACCTCCTCGTCCCCCTCGTCCTCTTCCTCGTCCTCTTCCTCCTCCTCCTTCTCCTCCTCCTCCTCCCTCCTCCCTCGTCCGCCTCCCCTCCTCCTCCTCTCCTCCCCTCCTCCTCCGCCCTCCCTCCTCCTCCCCTTCCTCCTCCTCCTCTCCTCCTCCTCCTCCCCCTCCTCCTACACTCCCCCATCCTCCGCCTCCACCTCCACCTCCGCCTCTCCTCCTCCTCCTCCTCCTCCTCCCACCTCCTCCCGCCTGCGCTGCGCCGTGGCCTCGCGCGCGCCCGCCGCCCTGGCAGCGCGCCGACCGCCGGGAGCGGCCGTCGCAGGTTGGCTTCCCCCTCGATGGACCGGCCCAGAGAGCCGTCGCTCCCAAAGACTCGGAGGCGGATGGACCTCCTACCTCCTCCCCCTCCCCCTTCTCCCTCCTCCTCCTCCTCCTCCTCCCCTCTCCTCCTCCTCCCCTCCTCCCCCTTCTCCTCCTCCTCCTCCTCCTCCTCCTCCCTCCTCCCCTCGTCCTCCTCCTCCTCCCTTTCCTCCTCCCCCCTCCTCCCCCTCCTCCTCCTCCTTCTCCTCCTTCGTCTCCTCCTCCTGCTCCTCCTCATCCTCCCTGACCTCCTACCCTGACACGTCGATTCACGAGCTGGCCGTTTTCGGTTCGCGAGGGGGCGCCGCGGCCGTCGATTCTGCGGGTCCAGGTCCGTCGGTTTCGGTCCCAGGCCGTTTTCACTCAGGCGAGGTTTGCTAGAGGGGACGGCCCTTGGCGGTCTTCGGCCACGGGGGCCCTTGGCATCGACGCTGCATCGACGCTGCATCGACGCCACCGCCGAAAGACACATGGGAGCGGGCGGCCCTTGGCGGTCTTCGGCCACGGGGGGCCCTCCCTGGGCTCCATGGCCGTCGAGAGCGACTCGGGGCGGAGAGGCGGCCCCGAGGGAGTGGTCCAGGCCTCCGGGGTCCACGCGGCGGAACCATGGGAGCAGCGGGATGTCTAGGGAGGAGGGGAGGGGAGGGGAGTTGGGGGGGAGGGGGGAGATCAGGGGTCGGGGGGCGACGACGACGACACGACGGCGACGACAACGACAGCGACGGCGGCGACGACTAAGACGGCGACGGCGGCGACGACTAAGACGGCGACGACGGCGACGGCGGCGGCGACGACGACTGCAACGACGACGACGACGACGACGGCGCCGGCGACGACGACGCTTGCGGCGGCAACGACGACGGCGCCGGCGACGACGACGACGACGACGACGGCGATGACGGCGACGTCGACGACGACGGCGGCGGCGGCGGCGACGACGATGACGACGACGGCGGCGGCGACGGCGGCGGCGGCGTTGACGGCGGGCGACAACGACGACGGCGACGACGCGACGGCGGACGACGGCGACGGCGACGACGGCGACGCCGACGACGACGACGCGACTGGCGTCGAGGCGACGAGCGATTAACTACTACGACTACGATGGCGACGACGACGGCGGCGGCGGCGACGATGCGACGACGACGGCGGCGCGACGGCGGTCGGGGCGACGACGGCGGCGACGACGGCGACGACGGACGACGACGCCACGACGCGACGACGAAACGACGGCGTCGACGACGACGGCGACCGACGGCGACGACGGCGGCGACGATGACGACGACGGCGACGACGGCGACGCCGACGACGACGACGACGGCGTCGAGGCGACGATGGCGATTACTACGACTGCGATGGCGACGACGACGGCGGCGGCGGCGACGATGGCGACGACGACGGCGGCGGCGACGGCGGCGGCGGCGACGACGGCGGCGACGACGGCGACGACGGCGACGACGACGGCGACGGCGACGACGGCGACGACGACAACGACGGCGGCGGCGACGACGGCGACGACGGCGACGACGGCGACGACGACGACGACGACGGCGACGACGGCGACGACGACGGCGACGACGACGACGACGGTGGCGACGACGACGCGGCTGCGACGACGACGTCGACGGCGACGGTGGCGACGACTGCGATGACGACGACTACGACGACGACGACGGCGGCGACGACGACGGTTGCGGCGAAACGGCGACAACGGCGGCGGTGGCGGTGACCGCGACGGCGACGGCCTCGGCGGCGACGACGACGATGTCGCCTTCTACGACGACGACGAAGGCGGGGATAGTGGCGGTGGCTCAGACGACGGCGACGATGACGACGATGACGATGATGATGCTGATGATGATGATGCTGATGTTGATGATGGACATGGATGGTGGATGATGGGATGGGATGGAGGACGGATAGTGGTTGGATATTGGAGGATGGATAATGATTGGTGATATTGATGATGAGGATGTTGTTGATGCTGATGCTGCTGACTATGGCGACGACGACGATGACGCTGATGATGCTGATCATGATGCTGATGATGACGCTGATGATAACGATGATGATTATGATGATGCTGATGTCGCTGATGATGATGATCATGATGATGTTCATGCTAATGCTGATGATGCTGATGATGATCATGCTGATGATGATGATGATGATGATGATGCTGATAATGTTGTTGATGATGATGGTGATGATGGTGATGATGCTGATGATGCTGATGATGCTGATGATAATGATAATGATGATAATGAGGATGATGATGATGACGATGATGATGATGATGCTGGTGATGATGATGATGCTGCTGATGATGATGATGATGATGCTGATGGGGATGATGATGATGGTGATGGTGATGGTGATGATGATGCTGATGACGATGATGATAATGATGCTGATGATGATGCTGATGCTGATGATGATGCTGATGATGATGCTGATGATGATGATGATGATGTTGATGCTGATGATTATGATGATGATGTTGTTGATGATGATGATGATGATGATGATGCTGCTGCTTCTGCTGCTGCTGCTGATGATGATGATGATGATGATGATGAGGAGGATGAGGATGAGGATGAGGATGAGGATGATGATGATGATGATGATGATGAGGAGGAGGATGAGGATGAGGATGAGGATGAGGATGAGGATGATGATGATGATGATGATGATGATGATGATGATGATGATGATGATGATGATGCTAATGCTGTTGTTGCTGATGATGTTGCTGAGGATGATGGTGAGAGGGATGATGACGAGGCGTATGAGGAGGATGGAGTAGGAAGGAGAGGGCAACATGGTCTAGGGCGAGAGACGCAGGGAGGGAGGGGAGGGAGGGGAGGGCGGGGAGGGAGGGGAAGGCAAGCTAGGTGCGCTCGCGTCATATCTGACATCCTACCCCTCCCTCCCATCCCTTACCATGGCGCAGATCCCCTCTCTACTCGCACAGTCGGATGTCGAGCAGGGCAATGATCCCGAAAGGGTACGCGATGCATTGTAGAGCACGGCATGGCATGGCGTAGAAGAGCACCGCAAAGCGTAGTATCAACCTAGCATTGCATTGCATGCACGCCGTGGCATGGCACGGGAAATGACGCCAGCGCTGCAGCGGGAGCACGAGTCGAAACGAGCGGAAGCGCGGAAATGAGGCCAGCGCTGCAGCGGGAGCACGATTCGGAACGACCGGAAGCACGGAAATGAGGCCAGCGCTGCAGCGGGAGCACGATTCGGAACGAGCGGGGCCCGAAAATGAGGCCAGCGCCTCAGCGAGAGCAGCATTTTGGAAAAAATGTAGGCGAACACCCAACTCCGGGGAAACCTGCTGTGTAAAAAAACAGTACGCGGGGGGGGGTCGAACACTCCCAGGCCGTCATCAGGGGAAGAGGGAGAGTAGTATTCATATTGAGTAATTGTGGAGAGGGAGGGGGGGAGGGAGGGAGGGAGGGAGGGGAGGGAGGGAGGGAGGGAGGGGAGGGGAGGGAGGGAGGGAAGACGACGCCTCGTCTTCTCGGTCGGCTGTGCTCCGCGCTGCCCCCCGGCGGGCGAGCGCAGGCCGGCGAGATCGGCAAGTTCAACCGCGTCGGCCAGAACAGCACCTCCAGCGTTAGGTCGGGCGTGCCCCTCCACAGGAGGAGTACATAGTCAAAAATAGTCAAATCATAGTCTGGGGACGGTTTTTCGACTATGTTTCAGTAGTTTCGTGCGTCTTGCTTCTAGTTTTTCTTGCGTGTTTTTGTTGCTTGTTTGACTTTTTGACGTTCCTGTTGCTTGTTTTTGTTTTTGTTGTTGATTTTTTGACTTTTGTTTTTGTTGCTTATTTTTGTTACTTGTTCAATAGTTTCGACTTTTGACTTTTTGTTGTTGCCCTTTTTTTTCTCTCCAAGATCCGCCTGTGAGAGGACATGCCCGACCTAGCTCCAGCGCGTGCGGGGCCTTCGTCGGCGCCTACAAGCAGACGATGAACTGGTCCGGACGGCCGGGGGGGGTCGCCCCCGCCGCAGCGAGGGGGAGCCCCGGGGAGGGAGGGAGGGAGTAGGAGGAGCGAGGAGGAGGAGGAGGAGGAGGAGGAGGAGGAGAAGGGAGTGAGGAGAAGGGAGTGAGGAGGAGGAGGAGGAGGAGGAAGGAGGAGGAGGAGCAGGGAGGGACGCGAAGGGAGAGGAGGAACATGGAGGAGGAGGAGGAGGAGGAGGAGGAGGAGCAGGAGGAGGAGGAGGACGCCGCGAGGGGACGGTATGGCGCCGCGATGATGCCATGATCTGTTCTCCAATGTGGAAGCGCCCTCACGTGAACGTCGCAGTTTCGACATGCCAGCTCCGCATGCACAAGGTACTCTTTTCTGTGAACCCCTGGCGCCCCTTGTGACATACCTCTGCGCCGGCCTCTGTAGGAGTCTGACCCATCGGCGTTTCCAATGTGGCGATCGATCAGCCTCGGAGTCGAGCCGACGTCACCAGCAACAGACGAATTTTTCGTCCAGCCCCCCTACCCACCCCCGACGGGATTAATTATCGGAGGCATCTTAAGTGTGCCCTTGGGGTCTCTTCGGGGTTTCTGCCAGGCCTCTTGGAGGCTGTGAGGTCGCTGGGGGGCCTCTTGGGGGCCTATGAGGTGCCTCTTGGGCGTGGGAAGCCTGGAAAAGCAAAAACGCTGACACCCGTCAAACGTCAACAGGGAATTACTGATTTAGGCCTCTTGGGGCTCTCTTGGGGATCCTCTTGGAGCCATCTCGAGGTGTGTTGAGGGCGTCTTGGGCCTTCTTGAGTCCGTCGTAGGCGTCTTAGAGCGTTCGTTCTTGGGCCAGGGCCCTCTTGGACCATCTTGAGTCTGTCGTGAGCGTTTTAGAGCGTTTTCAGGTTGTTCGCTTTTGATTGTTTTGTGGTTCTTTTGGGGCCTGTCTTGGAGCCCTCTCGCCTCAGGACGAGTCAAGAGGGACGTTGCACAAGTCACGCAAGAGACATCAAAGTCAGACGAGCACCCCCAGGAACTCCAGGCGTTGGGGCAATGGCCCCTTCCAAGAGTGTGTTCGACACTCAATGCTGTGGACGCGGACCTCTTGAGGACCTGAGGACGCTCCACTTCGACCCTTGAGACACGGTGGCGGGGATATGTACTTAACTCCGTATATTTGTACTTACATGCAGATTTAGTTGTATTTATAAACGCAGCAATGCGTCCAGATGTATTTATGTATGTATGTATGTGTATATATATATTTATATGTAAGCCTATCTATTCATCATTTGATAGGTTTTTACAAACACACGCACATATATATATATATGTCTATATGGACGCCCCCCTAGCAAACCCCCAAAGCGCTCAAAGCGCGAAGCTGCAGAATCGGTCGCATGATGAGACTGCACAGTCGCTTTGCAAACTTTCTTTGTTTATTTGTACAAGCGTCTGATGAGCCTGTGGTCCCAGATGACTGACGGCTTACTACAGGAATCCTTCCCAATAATTTCTTATCAAGGGATATTCGCGAAGGATTCCTTCATGTAAGGCATCCTTGTAGAAACTCCTTACCCGAAGGGGCCTTTACGCAGTATACTGAAGCGATTTTGGCGAAGAAGTCATTAGTAAAGGAGCCCTCAGTAAAGAACGTGGAGGAGCGGGCCCTAGGTGACACGATACGTTGTGTATGTGTTTTTTTTGGTTTGGGAAGCAGGGAAACGGCCTGTATGTTTTTTTGCTTCTCCTGTTTCGCAGTGTATGTTTTGTTGGTTTCGTTTCGCTTGTTTTGATTATGTTCTTTTTTGGTCTTGCGGTGGTAAGAGTTAGATGAACTAAACATACACAGTGCCTGGCGCCCTCGGTGCCACAAGACTGGGTCTGGGAAGCAGCGAACCACTGTGTATATTATTTGGAATGTGGGGTTTACAGGTTTACAGAAGGCTGTCGGGGGGAGGCCGCGTTGAGCACTGGAGCCTCCAAAACCAAAAACAACAAACCAGAAAACAACAACCATACACAGTGGTTTCGCTGCCTCCCAGACGCAAGAAACCCAGGCATACAAACATACACAGCGTTTCGTGGCACCGAGGGCGTCATAATTGTGTATGTTGGGTTTGTCTGGTTTTGGAAGCTCTGGGCGAAGTGCTGGGGGGAGTCCGCGGTGGCACTCGAGCTTGCAGAACAAGAACACAACACACAACATATACAGTGTCCCGCTGCTGCCCAGACCCAATAATGAAAACAAGGAACATGTACAGCGGTTCGTGTCACCTGGGGCTCTCTTTTGCAGTAAGGGGCCCTTGCTATTCCTTCTTCTTCATTGAGCGTTTGGGGGGTCGCTGGGGGGGGGGGTCGCTGGGGGGGTTCTCTCTTTCTCCCTCCCTCTCTCTCTATATATATGTATATTTGTTTCATATGTAAATAAGAAATTGTGTCTCAATATAAATATACATGTGTATAGGTTTGCACATACAGGTGTACATCCGTTCATATTTGTATCTGTGTACGTCTATGTTTGTGTAGTCGTGTTTCAGTAGGTGTGGGTATATGCCTTTTTATGTGTATGTGTATGTGTGGCTATATATATACACATACATGTATACGCATATGCACATGCGAACGTATATGCACTTGCACACGCATGTGCGCCCATTTTGTTATGTGGAAGCAGGTGTGCGTATATGGTTATGAACATGCCTATGTGTGCATGCATCTGTACAGTTCAATGCACATGCATGTTTATGGTTATAGGTGAACGTATCTGCAGATATATCTACGTGCATGTATATGTGCATTTGTATTTAGGTGCATTTGTACATGTATCGGCGTATGTCTGTGTACATTTATATGTATATGTGTATGTGTATGTTCATGTGTACGTACATGCGTATGCTTATGCGTTTGCACATGTATATACATATAACGCCGCACTGGGCCCGGGGGCCCCGGGGCCGCAGCCTCGACCGCAAATGGGGGGACGTCGGCTCTTGGGGCGTCCCTGAGGCCTTCAAAACGCTCCGGGAACGCGTCAAGAGAACCCGAAGACGCCCCCAGACGGACCCAAGACACCCAAAGGCCGCTCCGAGATGCCCAAGATGGCCCCCAAGACACCTCCAGAGGCCTCGCAGACGCTCTAAGAAACCCCCGAGAGGCCCCCCAGGACGTCCCCAAGAGCCAGAAATAGCCCCATTCCCTTCGCAAAACGTACATTTTTAGCATATTCATTGTTTTCGCTGTCGTACCGTTCTTGACGACATCAGAGGTCCCCAAGACCGCTCCAAGACTGCTCAAGAGGCGCCCCCGAGGGCCCCAAGACGGCCCAAAAGAGCCCCAGGACGGCCCAAGAGGCGCCCAAGACGGCCCAAACGGGCCCCCAAAGGCGCCCAAGAGAAGCCCAAGATTGGGAAATCCAATCGACAATTCGAGCTTTCCGCCACAAGAGGCGCCCGGGAGGCCCCAAGAGGCCCCGAAGAAGCCCCAAGATGCCTCCAAGAGGCCACCCAGACGCCGCAAGAAGGCCCCACGAGGACCCCCGAGAGAGTCCTGAGAGCCCCAAACTGTTTATTTTCCGTAGATGTTCAAAGGATTTTAGTCATCTCGCCTTCTCGGGTTCCCGACGCGCGAAAACGACCCAAGAGGCCCCCAAGATCGACCCAAGGAAGCCCGGTCCAGGGGTCTCTAGCGACGCACGGTGCGTTTTAAACTGTCCCGGAGGCCCCCAAGACGCCTCAAGAGGCCTTTAAGATGCCGCCCAAGAGCGCCCCGAGAGGGCAAAATCGTTGATTCTTAATCGTTTTTGTTAAACTGTTGTTTGTATTCTCGCTGTTTCGTGTTTCCGGCGCTCAAGCACCGCCCAAGAGGCTCCCAAAACCGCTCCAAGACGGCCAAGTCGGCGCACCAGGCGCCCTCAAGTCGGGCCTCCACGCAGCCAATACGGCCAATGACGGCTTCAGATTGCAGAACATCACCTTCCGACTGCCCAGAGAACCCCGACGATGTTCACAAGGGGCCCCAAGAAGCCCCAAGTTGCCCCCCTAAGAAGCACCCAAGAGGTGCCTCCAACAGCAAGTTGAGGAAGCACGGAGAACCCCCCAGCAGCCCTTCAGATGCCCCCCGAAGACCCAAGAGGCCCTCAGGAGGCACGACTATGTCACGCGCCTGTGCTTGATAGCGCTGTCCAAGATCTTCCAGCGCCCCCCTGGCCTGGGCTAGAACTTGAGCGCGCGCGAAGCGCGCGCGATGGTTCTAGTATGCATATATATATACACATATACGCATGCAAATGTACATGTACATGCATATGTGTAGATATGTGTATGTATACGTAAATGTAGATGTAGGTGCACAGCAGCTTGTATATGTATTTGTGAGCGAATACGTATTTGCATACGTTTATGTACATGTGTATGGATATTGATTTGTCTATGTGTACTCACATGTACATGCTTACGTACATGTATCAGTACATGTGTATTACATGTATGTCTATAAGTGCATGTATGTGTTTATGTCTATGTATGTGTATATGTACATGTACATACATACCTATACGTATATGTATATGTACCTACGCATGTGCTGTGAACCTGTGTATCTAGATGTATCCGTACATGTATATGAAATGCCGATGTACATGCATATGTATATGACTATGTGTGTGTGTGTGTGCATATTCATGTGTATATGTAGCTTGGATGTACATGTATCTGGATGTACTTGAGTCTGAATGCGCATTTGTATTGATATATTTACATACCTGGATGTACATGTGTATGTTTGCACGTACATGCATAGTAATATGTATATGCATGTCTTGTTTAATCATATTTGTATATATGTATGCTCAAGTTTAGGAATTATGTACATGCATACGTATACATTTATATACATATACACGGGTATGTCTGCGTTCATATTCACATGTACACGTAATTGCATTTGGGTACGTTTTGAACATGTTCATGTGTGCTTAGATGTTTTTGTTTTCGTCTTTGCTTTTTTTTCTGCATATGGACATGTTT